TTTCGACAAAGCTATCAGTCCGTTATCCAAACAGTAATCGAAAACATCCATGACTACTTCCGCAAACGATACAGTCAGCTGATTCCTTGCTCAAGGTCACTTTTTTGTTCGAAGGTCGTTTCGGTTTGGGCCGCTATTATTTAGAGTCACCGGAAATAGATATAGCGTCAAATCTAAACTGTGATTGAAAAAAAATACATGTCAATTTCACGCGGGAATCATAAATGATTGCGTTAGTTGAGGAAGGTAAGTAGCATTTCTGTACAGGTGCTGACGTGGTACATAAGAGATGCAGAATAAACAATAATTATCAGTAAATCATTCAGAAAAAGTTTTAAAGTCTATTAAATTTTATATTCACCTGTAAGTACATCATATTTGTGACATTTCCAGTTGTTTATGAGACCCACTTTGAACTTGTCAGCAGATTTTGTAATACCGATGATCCCGTTATTCACCAGATGAGCTAGCAATATCACGAATAAGTAGAGAACTGCAGCGCTGTATCAGTACCTTCGTTGAAAGCAGTACCTTTGAAAAGAGAAGAAGACACAAGAAAACCGGCAGACAGGTGCAGAAGTATATAAAAGGTGTTAATAATTCAGAATATATAACAGGCATGGGCTTCATCATTTTTTATTGTTTTTTTTCAAGAAATATTATTTTCCCGATATTTTGCAGTCTTTTCTGCGAAGAATTAGTTTAAAGTGAAAGACAGGTGATAATTTCACCTACTTACGAGGTTTAAAAGGAATTAAACACAAAAGTCAGAGTGCGTGAGCTATGTAAAAGAAAAGCGAGGGCCTAGTAATATATGTTTTTCTGAAGTATACAGTTCGGTGTCCTTCTGAAGTAGCGGACTCATACCATTTACTTTCATTCGGGAGTTTGCATTTAAACTTCGGCTCTAGGCAATTTTCAACTTCTATTTCTTTTTTCATTAATATTTTTAGTTTTTACTTTTATATTTATTCTCATTTTGCAGAAGCCATCCGAACTCAGGAGCCTTAGCAATAGAGTGCTGTCCCACAGATAAGGGTGGTTCACATATGTCCCCACCATCATATCCGCTGACTAGCAGTCACCACCCTCCCACCTATTTTGTGCAAGGCCCTGGCGGAATGCTTTATTTTTTTAAATATTTATTTTTAGTTTTTTAAATTTCTGTTGCAAAATGCCACAAACTTTTTGTTTTCCAAATATTCATTCGTCGACTTACTCAAATTTATGGTATGAATGACTACTTTCAGAAGAACATCATGTATGTTTCATCTTTTACAGCATTTTGAAGCATACGAAAAGAACTTTTTCAAGCACGCGGACGATCTAACTGTTTCAATGTCTGTTAACTGCCAGCTACACTGTACTAAGATGAACAGCTCTCTATTAGGAGTCAGAAAATGCTGTTAAACTGAATCCTTCGAAATGTCAGGCTGTATTTTTCAGTTTCCGATGTAAACGAAAGTTAGGTGAAGGTGATAATTCCTATTACCGTTGCAAAATTGATAATAGTGATATGGAAATCAAGTCTGACTTTAAGTATCTCGGACTAATTCATCACAGCGTATTGGCCCTAAATGTATGCCACATGCAGGCATAATGTTTATGAGCCAGGTATGCAAATCAAGGTAAACGTCTGTACGGTACATTCATTATTTATAAAACTAACTCGTACGTACGAACTATGGTTTGATCCGTTATACAACGTTTAATACATTTAGACACAATTAATCTACGTTGCTTACTTCTGTGATGCATTACCTAAAACTACCTTAATATAGTTTCCGCTGAAGGTAAGCTCCAATAACTACCCCGTTAGTGGGGGACTTAACGTTATCTTTGAATAACGAAGAGCGGAAATTCTGAGAACTTTCTTAGTAAAAAATGAAATATACCCTAGTCTCCCCAAAAACGTTCAGAGGTATTCATCCTATTGTAGTACCCCTATACCAACTGTAAACATGCTTTATAATCTAATTTGTATACCTGCATTATATGTGTACACAGACCGATTTTATATGTACTTCGCAAACATTTGTCAGTTTACTCTCGAATATTACCTTGACACAATTTCGAATTTGACTACTGCTACAATACACATTCGTAATCTTCGCAAGTGCCTTTTGATTTACGTTGTGGGCGTCGAGTAGCCACAACGTCTGCGCACATGAATAAGAACGAAGAAATACTAGAATATATGTGTACGGCAGTTTAGTCAGACAACGCACGCAACAAAATTGGTGAGCCCGACGTGATATTTCGACAGCGACGACAAATTGGTGTCCTTGACGATAACTGGTTCACCCCGACGACAAATTGTTGACCCCAACGATAAATTTCTACCCCGTCAACAAATTGTCCATCGCGACGACAACTTTTTCAACTCGACGATAACTTGTTCACTGCAACGATAACTTGTTGACTCCAACGACATTTTGTTCACCCGGACGCATCATCACACTTGCTGGATTATTTAAACTCTAACTTTATCGGATATATATACATATAATAGACATTTCGAGCTCATTCTTGTGCTTTCTCATCGCACAACTTGCAGTAATCTGTGGTAAGCATCTGCATTGCATGTTTTCTGTTTTGCCATATTCTTGGTGTGCATAATTTTTGCTATTTTGTTACTGTTAAACCATTTTTCTACGAATTGTACCATGTCTTCCAATACCTCTAATAACTTAGAGCTGGGATCTGTTAGTACCATTTCTCTTACTGTACCAGTTTTTAAGCCCAGAGACCCCATCTTTGGTTTGCACGACTGGAACATTATTTCACTGCCAATAAGCTTACATCACAGACGGCTAAATTCGGCATTTTGAGTACAGTACTACCAGACGAAATCGCCGAACAGGTTCGACAATACATAGTTCAGCCCAGCACAGACGCTCCTTACGACAAGTTGAAGGAAGAGGTACTTCGATGCACTTCACTTTCTGATAGGCAAACACTCGATCGTTTGTTAAGCAATGTAGAGCTAGGTGATAAAACCCCATCACAACTCATGAGGTGCATGCAAAGCCTAGTAGCAGGAAGAATAATCGACAAACGTCTCTTTTACCAAATCTGGCTGCGACGACTGCCTGCAAACATTCAGCAAGTTCTTGCTTTCGGAGACGACGACATTGACATAGAAAAGCTCGCCAAAATTGCAGATCGCATGTACGAGAGGTCAACACCTCAATCTATTGCTTCCACTAGCAGAATACCAGACACTCACGACAGGATACAGACTCTAGAACACAAAGTCGACACCTTACTGAGTCAGTTAGCAGCACTGACCACACACACACGACCAAGCCGTTCTAGAAGCTCGTCTCGTCGACGTCTTTCTCGGTCACCCAGCACGTCACGACATCACGATACTATTTGCTGGTACCACCGTAGTTACGGAGACAATGCACGACGGTGTCGTTCACCTTGCAACTTTCAGGCTAAACCAAAAGATATATCGTCATGTATGAAAACTTCTACTGTCAGCAATCTACGATCTAGCAGTCGTTTGTTTTATGTAACAGATAGAAATACCGGTACTACGTTCTTAGTCGACACAGGAGCAGAGGTTAGTGTTCTCCCTCCGTCTACGCAGGAACGTCAACATCCTGACCCTGCAGTTACGCTCCAAGCCGTTAATAAGTCTAATATTGTTACATATGGTAGTAAACGAATGACTTTAGATTTTGGTCTGCAGAATACCTACAATTGGTCTTTCATCATCGCAGACGTTCCATCCCCAATCCTTGGTATAGATTTTCTACAGCAACACAAACTGCTAGTTGATCCGGTTAGCCCTAAGCTTATAGACTCGCTCAATAAAAGGTACATCGCTGGTACGATTAGCCGTGCATCATCGCTGAACTTGATGGTCACACGCACACCAGCATCTCCATATACTGACTTAGTAAATCAGTTCCCTGACCTTCTACAACCCTTTTCCGAGCAACAGAACTAAAGCATCAAGTGGTTCATCACATTAAAACCACTGGACCACCAGTTTTTGCACGTCCTCGACGCCTTGACCCACATCGACTTAAAATCGCAAAAACAGAGTTCGATAAAATGTTAGAGCTCGGCATTATTCGACCATCCAACAGCTCTTGGTCTTCACCGCTGCACATGGTACCCAAAAAGTCTTCTGGTGAGATACGGCCATGCGGGGATTATCGAGCTTTAAACAAGCAAACGGTACCTGACTGATACCCCATACCGCATATTCACGATTTCGCCAGCAACTTGCCAGAGGTTAAAATTTTCTCCAAAATCGACCTTGTCAGAGCGTACCATCATATTCCCATCCACCCGGATGACGTTCCAAAAACTGCTATCACCACGCCATTCGGCTTATACGAATTCGTACGCATGCCTTTCGGGCTGATGAACGCCGCTCAGACATTTCAACGTCTCATCGACCAAGTACTCCGCGGCCTGCCCTTCGTCTACGCATACATTGACGACTTACTAATTGCAAGTGCAGACGAAACCGAGCATGTGAAACATGTGAAGACGGTGTTTGAAAGACTTCACAAATACGGCATGACTATCAATTTAGATAAATGCGAATTTGGTAAAAAATCACTGAAATTCCTCGGTCACTTGATTGACAATCAAGGAATTAGACCAGTCCCCGACGATGTACAAGCTATCAAAGACTATCCATTACCAGATTCTTTCAAGAAATTACGGCGATTTTTGGGTCTAGTCAATTTTTACCGGCGTTTTATCCCGAACTGTGCTAGAGTTTTGCAACCGTTGACCGACTGCTTACGTGGACATAGTCGTTCATTCCATTTGCCTGCAGAAGCTGTTAAAGCATTTGAAGCTGTTAAACAATCTCAGAAATGTGCGTCGGTGGCACAGTGGTTAGGACTCTCGCCAACCATGCATATGGTCCGGGGTTCGAGCCCACGCCGATGCACACCTGATATCTATGGTCGGCCTGCAAAATTTGGGCTACCGATATCCATGCTGAAAATTCCATACTTGTACCAAAAATACAGTGTGGAATCAAGCTGTAAATAAAAAATAAATAAATGACAAGATGCTCTTAGCCAGACGCCAGAATGACGCCCCCTGTCTCTCATGACAGATGCTTCAGATGTCGCCATTGGGGCAGTGTTACAACAGCCGGTACATGGCTAATGGCAACCCCTTGCATTCTTTTCGAAACGACTGAATCCTACTCAATGTCGATATAGCACCTTTGGTAGAGAGTTATTAGCTGTTTATTTAGCAATCAAGCACTTTCACATATGCTGGAAGGTACATCTTTTACTGTCTTTACAGACCACAAAGCTCTAACGAAAGCCTTATCAGCAAAACAGGATAATTACTCTACGCGCGAACTACGACATCTCGAGTTTATATCCCAGTTCACCTTCGATCTCCGACACATAAAGGGTAAAAACAATGAAGTGGCAGACGCTTTATCACGTATGCACATTGATAACATTGTATGCCCAGACATCGACTACGAACATCTCTCAAACTTACAACGAGATGACACCGAACTCAAAAAGATCATGTCTTCTAAAACAACATCTCTAAACCTCGAGGCAATTCCTTTCGGCACGGCAAAAGTTATCTGCGACACCTCTACGGGTGAATATCGACCTTTCGTTCCAATAGCTATGAGGCATACAGTATTCGAGAAGTTACATAACTTGTCGCATCCTGGTGTTAGCGCTACTAACAAGCTACTAAGAGAAAGATTTATCTGGCCAAACATTAACAGCGATGTTAAGAAGTGGACACGAAGTTGCTTGTCTTGTCAAAGAGTCAAAATCAACCGGCACACCAAAACACCACTTGGTCGCTTCCCTAACCCCGACTCTAGATTTGACCATGTACATGTAGACATAGTTGGTCCACTGCCTCCTTCCAATGGTTTCAACCATATTCTAACCTGCATTGACAGATTTACTCGTTGGCCAGTAGCAGTTCCATTAATCGACGTCTCAACTGAAACGGTAGCTAAAGCTTTAATCGAAAACTGGATAGCGAATTTTGGTGTCCCATCAATTATCACTACAGACAGAGGTGCCCAGTTTGAAAGCCGACTTTTTGACCAGCTAACTGAATTACTGGGCATTAAACGAATACGAACAACAGCGTATCACCCTAGTTCCAATGGTATGGTCGAACGATTTCATCGACAACTCAAAGCTGCACTCGCTGCTTCTTTGACTCAAAACGATTGGTCAACCAAACTTCCACTAGTATTACTTGGTATACGAGCTACTATAAAGAAAGATATTGACTGCTGTGTTTCCGAACTAGTCTATGGAACAACATTACGATTACCAGGATAATTTTTCACCCCGGGTGACCAAGTTCCACACGATATGACTGGTTACGTGCACCAGCTAAAACGACACATGAACGAGCTAAAGATATCACTTCCACGTCAGCAGGGACGAGCGTCATACATCCCGTCACAACTGACAGATTTTACTCACGTCTTCGTTAGGAGAGGTGTACAACGACCCCTTCAACCCGCTTATGATGGCTCATTCAAAGTTCTTAACAGAAGTGCCAAAGTTATCACGATAGAAAGATTGAATAAAACAGAAGCCTTCAGTTTCGACAGAGTCAAACCAGCGTTCCTCGAGGATTTCTAAGTCAACAATAAGGACCAGCTGAACGACGTGCCAATGCCTGCATCCACAAAAGCTTCAACGTCGACAGAGAAACCTGCGAAAACAACACAATCTGGTAGACGAGTCCATTGGCCTAAACGTTACGTGCAAGTCATCGAAATATAACTTACTACGAATTTTCATTTTTATTATCTTTATTCGTAACTGTCATTTGACTACCCATTTAACTGATTAATATTTTCATACATAAATCACGTCACTATTATTTTAACATCGATATTTTCTATATTATTACATTTAATCACATCCCGCTTATAATGCACTTATCGTTCTCGTCTGCAGACTACAGATGCTTGGCCAATTTTATCGTTCCTTATATGTTAATTACGATTACCAATCCTACTTTCCCAAAATTATCACATTTATTATCGACGTTATTAACCGCATTAAACTGCTCATTTTTCAGCTTAATAAATCGCCTTCTGTGTACTATCGCTGCTACGTAATACGCCGACGCATGTTATTTTCGAACACTTAAATGTATTTTTTTATATTTCAGTGTTCTGGTGGGGGAATTATGTAGTACCCCTATACCAACTGTAAACATGCTTTATAATCTAATTTGTATACCTGCATTATATGTGTACACAGACCGATTTTATATGTACTTCGCAAACATTTGTCAGTTTACTCTCGAATATTACCTTGACACAATTTCGAATTTGACTACTGCTACAATACACATTCGTAATCTTCGCAAGTGCCTTTTGATTTACGTTGTGGGCGTCGAGTAGCCACAACGTCTGCGCACATGAATAAGAACGAAGAAATACTAGAATATATGTGTACGGCAGTTTAGTCAGACAACGCACGCAACACTATCACCTCAAACGACTCACTATTTGCAGTCATTTTAAAAGGAAAAATCAATTTACCGATGGCAGCGTGCTTATGATTTCTAGATATCATAATGTACCATGAGGAAAACGCTATATCCATGCGGTTATAGCTGTCGGATGCGCGAAATTAGTCCGAAACACAACAACCACGATTCTCAATCACAGAACATCCTACTTCGCCACCTAATCGTATAATCGTTTTAACGGATGTTTTAAGATAGATAAGATAAGCTTTATTCCAAATCAGTACTTGTGATACAGAATGGAATTCTCAGCATTTTACTACAATATTGCATCTAGTTAGTACATTAACAATAAATATAGTTCTACATAGATTAAAGTTATCTCAGTCAGTTTAGACAACAACATATTAGCATGTCGGTAGCAAAGCCAAAATTTAAACAGAGTGTTTGAATGTGTTAGAAAAGTACATACTACTGTTTCGCCAAAGAAAAGATGACTACTGGTTCAAGGAAAATTTATTTAGTTTTTTTAAAGATCATGGACATCCGTGTTTATAGTCACGGAAAAATCACAACTTCGAGGAAATCACCGATAGTAGATTACAACCCGAAACGTCATTCTTCCTAATTAATGTCTTACATCTAACTGGGATAGTTCGTACACTCACCAGATCACCGTATTTTATCCGCTTTGAAAACCATTTTGGAACCCATCGAAAGGATGTTAACACAGGCTCTATTACGGGCAGTCCTAGTTCATGTATTTGGATCTAGTATATTAAGCAATAATAAGCATAAGTAACACTTACCCTTAAGGGTTCCAGCTTCTTTTAGTTCCTCGAAATACACACAAGCACAACAGATTCATAATTTTCATGCAGCTCAACCTTGTTTGACTTACATTCTCTCACAATATGTTTTTTCAAATGATAGCAGATATACTGATGGTATATTTACATTCTAAAAAGCTTCAAAGCTTTTTCATCTTAAACCCAGGTTTTAAATTCTCCAGAATTATGTTCTTTGAAAACCTTGCTAATATCAACTTTGATCGTGCTCTCCTCACCAGATTTACTGGTAAATTGCTGCATGCTGTAGACATAAACGTGAAAGACATTAGTTTTCCAAATTTCTACATGTTAAATAACCAAATGAGCCAGCAACAAAACCTGCAACCAACTAATGGACTGGAGACAACTGCTTCTGCCAGCCAAACATCTTCATTTGCATAATTTCCAAAACTTCTACATAGTGCTAATTCAATAATAGCTGAAAAACAACTAAAACACTAAAAGCCGCATGAATGCAAGGTGTGAAACAATTACAACGAAATAAATGCACTGACCTGGTAGTGAAAACTTTCGAAACCAAAGAAATAATTCATTTTAACGGCAACGGAAACAAAAAATGAGGTGAAACGCAACATTTGTGAGCAATACGCAACAAGATAAGTCGTGAATAACTGTAGGATAAACGGAACAACAAACGCGTAGACGAACAGCTACGGAACTGCAATCCAACATGGCCAACTGATATGGACGAAAATGACCTTTGAGCGTCTCACTCCCCCCAATGACCTTGTTAAGTTACGGATAATTTCAGTCTTAAAATTCCCTGTTTTAAGTATTTCCAGGGTAGTGGGATAGTTAAGTGCACTACTGTAATACAAGCTGAAAATTCCATATTTTTTACCAAAAACACTGTTTTGGATAATGCTGTTTTTGTTATTATCTCATCCATATTTTAATTTTCTTTCATTTGTTGTATTGTTGTTCAATGTCTCATAAGCGGTTATTATTATTTCTTGAGTATTTGCATTATTTCATACTGCTGATGTATTTTTGTTTCATATCACATAACTTATCTAACCATGGCTGAAAGTTACTCTTGTGCGCAGATGGCAGCCACACTGCAGCTGCCCGTCTTCCGGGCAAATTGTCCATTTTTATGGTTCTCACATGTTCAGTTCTTTCAGCGACGTATTTACTCACAAGAAACTAAGGCTAACTCAGCCATCGTGAGTCCTCCTGAAACACCATGGAGAACGTTTCAGATGTTACTGACGACCCTTCTCTGAATTTTTGCGGCAGCCTGAAAGCGGCTGAAACGAAGAGTATGGCACTAACTAACCATCAACAAAAAGCGAGAGAACTCTTCAGAGACGTTCAATCTGAGGGTCTTAAGCCCTTACAAATTCTGTGTCAGATGAAAAAGATGACTGATGGTTTCCCTAAAACAACTGGGGTTGCAGAGGTTGCCTCGAAGAGTGTAAACAATTCTCGCATCATTCTACAAGTGACCTTTAACGGAGCTAGTGCAGGTAGACGATGGAGCCGTCGAGGTTACCAGACTATTCACAAGCATTTCTACGGCCTTGCCTACTAAAATTAAATGTCACAGTGACCTGCATTCAGTGAGTGACCCTTACAGTTTCGACATCAAACAAAAGAATCAGGGCTTGTGTAGTCTCAGGAAGGAATTTAGAGCTTACAGTCTTCACAATCGTGCACTTCTCTCTCGCAGCAAACCCTCCTCACATTATGGAAAAAGGCTGTGGAAACTGAGAAACTAGCAATCTGTAATTTGTTGGTATCATGAACATTGTGGCGCCAATGCATAAAGGTCCAATCTTCCGCGGACGTTTGACTCTAGCTAGTTGGGAAACGTGTGAGCTGGCAGGTGACAGCGATTAAGTTCGCTGGAGATACATTCCCGTGTCGCTTATTCTAGACCACAGATCGTAACTCTAGGATAAACTTCCTGGTCAGTATTGAGGCAGAAGCTACCATAGTCTCACCGACAACCGAAGAGCGTCTGCGACCAGAATCTGTACAGCCCACAGACCATGATTCATCTATCACAACTCATGGTAGAAGGTTCTTAGACCTTAACGCTGGAATCTACCGTGCTTTCCTTGGGTTTCCATGTGATTATTGCCACTAGTGTGGATCTCTTGTAACGATTTCAGTTACTGTCATATTGTGTGCGTCGGTGGCACAGTGGTAAGAACTCTCGACGACTCTGCACATCGTCCAAGGTTCGATCACCTGCCGACGCACACCTGATATCTATGGTCGGCCTGCAAAATTTGGGCTACCGATATCCATTCTGAAAATTCTATACTCGCGCCAAAAATACAGTGTGGAATTATGCAGTAAATCAAAATAAAAAAATAAATATTCTGGCCAGCATAAGTTGACTGATTCTGCCACACAGCTCTGCATCTCCGGTACTGCCAATAACAGACACTTCCACAGCCCAGTTTATACAACCCCTGACGCATCAAGTCCGTACCTTACTATAGTTCAAACTATTACCGACATATTCAAACCTAATTGTGATGTTCTTTGTATAACTTCAAATGCTGCTCACCACATGATGACCACTGACCCACCTGTATTCGCCAAACCACGACAGTTATCTCCGGAGGTACCCCAAGCTATCAAGACTGAGTTTGAACATATGTTCGAAACGGGGATAATGAGACCTTCTAACAGCCAGCAGTCATCACCTCTGGATGCGGTGCCTAAAAAATGACGTGGATTGAAGGCCTTGTGGTGATTGCTGAAGGCTGACTGCTCAAATAGTCCCTGATCGATACCCAGCCCAATACATACAAGATTTCGCACTACCTTTAACAGGTTCTACCCTATCCAGCAAGCTTAATCTGACACGTGCCTAGCACCCTGATGATATTCTGAAGACCGCAGTCACTACCCGTCATGGGTTTCTTTGTATGCCTATCGATCCATACGACCCTTCTCAAAATAACACCCGCTAACAGACGATCCGGCCAAGTACCAGAGTGAAATTCAATCAATGGCTCTTTTGGGAGATGTTATCGATAAAAGTGACATTCGTCCTTTAACTGAAAAGTTAGAAGTGCGGAAATCCATGAAATCGCTGCACACATTTCTAAGCGTGATAAGTTACTACCATCGTTTTATTTTCCGATGAGAGCATATGTGGGTGGCAGTGACTGATCTTCTCAAAGGTAAGTGTAAACAGCCAACCGTCACTCCTGAAGCATTCGAAGCATTTGAGCAAATTAAGATAGCTTTTTCAGAAGCCAATATTTTAATGTGTCTGGATACAAAGCTTCCCCTTGGTATTTCTGTTGATGCATCTAACACGGCTATAGAAACTGTCCGACAATAGCTCATGTATGCCACATGGACATCTCTGGTTCTCTTTTCCTGGAAGCCATATGCATGCGAGATGAGGTGTAGCCCTTTCTGTCGGGGGCTCCCTGCTATTTGTGCCTTTATCAAACACTTTCGTCACCTTGTTGAGGGTCGTCAATTCACTGTTTTCACTGGCCACAAACCCCTGACTCATGTCCTTCATACCACAGTGGATATATATCGTCCACGTCATTCACGACGTTTAGGCTAGATTTGAAAATTTGCTTTGTGCATACGACACGCTCCTGGAGCATATAAGCCGGTGTCAGATGCATTGTGACGAATGTGCACTTTTATTTCTACGCCAACCAGGGACTTCAGAAGGATGGCTAGACTATGGTGAGCAGATTTGGGTGTAGATAAACTTTGTCACAATAGCTTTTTGTAGGTGCTACTCTCTATAGAAACGGTTACACACCTCGTGACATGCCTACAGGCACCCCCAGGACGTGTGGTTCCTCTGTATTTACGGCAAACAGTATCTTAATGTCTCTACAACCCCTGGCACCCTGGTATACGTGCCACTGGCAAACTGATATTCGCTGGAATCGTCCGACCTTGCACTAACCACCATGTGAGTAACTGGATGCGTTTTTGCATCCAGTTTCAACACTTCAAAGTGCATAAGCATAACGTTACTCTGGTTGGATAACTCTCCACATCTGATGCACTTTTAAGCAAAGTTCATCTAGGCGTCGTAGATCCACTACCTCCTTCCAATGGAAACTCGTACCTACCCACATGTGTAGACCTCTTTGCCGGTTGGCAGGGACCTAATTTTATTGCAGATACAGCAGCAGAAGCAACCGTCCAGGAATTCATGGAAAGATAGGTTTTACAGTTCAGATGCCCTTCTATGGTGACGACAGACTTTGGACAACAATTTGAATCTGTGACCTTCAATAAATCTTTGGAACTTTTGGGATGCAGATGCTTTCGAACCATTGCACACTACCCTTCAGATTATGGACAGGTACGGCGTTTTCGCTGA